AGATGCAGGGAAGTAAATACAAATATTGAGGATGACCCTTTATTGTTTTGCATTCTGCTTTGATTTTTTTCAAAAAGGCTTTGTGGGGTTGCCAACACTGTAGCATGATAATTTAAGGAAAAAAAATCAACAATGTTTCAGATGCAGGTGCTCTTCCTGTGTCACCTCCTTGTTGGGATGCTCCTGTGTTCACTTGTATAGCAAGTTTTATTTTTCTGAATGTAAAGATAATTTAAGAGCCAGAATAAAGCCTGTGTATCTTTGGAGTTCTTGTTCAAAATAATCTTTAACTTCATTTCTCATTCTTCTCAGCAGCCTCTTAGCCAAAAGGTACCTAAAATAAATTCACCTTATCTTTCAGGTTTTTTTAGGAAGCTATGGTTTTCATTTTATGGTGTCTTGAGGAGTGGGACACCAAAAATATATCTCAGTGGCTGAGAATTTTGAGACAAAGCATAACTTACATGTGCTTCCAGCAACATGGACTTCAGTACACTACAAAATAGCCAGAACTGTTTTGATTCAGAAGTGTGGCCACTCTGTAGAGCGCTTGGGAAAGGAGTAAGAATTGTGGATTCCAGGTTGTCCTTAGTCTGATTTCCGTCCTCTTAAAATAATGTCTTAATCATGCATTTAGCAGAGTTGCCTGTAAATTTGAATCATTGTACCGCAAAGAATCAAGGATATTTGAGTCTGTAACACATAAATTTTTCTGATGGGCTGCATTGAGCTGGCAAGATGTTTTACCGCGTTACTGAATGTTTGGGTATATTTTCTATTTTGCAGTGCATGAGAATTTTCCGTCTAGCAGAATTTTTCCACTTAAAGAAATAAATGGTTGTCACTTCTATAATTACGGTTAAGCAGTAGTTAATGGTTTGTCCAACACGTTATGTCTGACTGCAGTTCACAGCTATGAAAGCAATTGCATGTTGCTTTATTCTTCTTTTAGTTTATAATGTAGAACCTTGAATTGTTCATTTGTAAAAGCTCAGTTAATAAATGACGGTGTTAACTATCTTTTCAGCATAAAACACAGATAATAGGGTTCTTTTATGTGTGCATTTGAGTGAATATTTTAATCTCTTTTCTCTTTAATAGGAAAACGTTCTCTGTAGGATTTAATTTTTTTACCAAAAACTACTGGAAGCTAATTTGAAGCATCAGGAGTCAGATGCTAACAAAAATAGGGTAAAAGGCAACAAATATAATTGCTTGTCTGCTGTTTATAGATTATCTAAAGAGCAGCCCTGAAGTTGACACTCAGTTTCTGAGTGGCAGCTGTGAATTTGACAATTATCTTCTCCGTTTCTGGAAACTGTAACCATCAGCAACTGTTGACACACTCAGGAAAATGGTGCTGCCTGGTTTATCTGTTTTCCTTTTTGAAGATTACCACCGCCTCTGCTGTGTCTGAAAATTGTTCTAAATGTAAACTTCAGTTTTTGCAAAATGTATATCTTGCTTTGAAAGCCAGGGTTTTTTTTTTTCACTCACTAGTATATTTCCCCCCCCCCCCCTTCTCCATGGTATTTTGTGTTTAACACTCAGTCATGACTACACAGTACAGCTGAACATGTAACTGAGTGATTTAAGTAACCTTCACTTAAATTATAAAATCTGAATGATCACTGCAGCAACACCAATAAACCAATGAATTTTCATAAAAGATAAATTAAACAGAAGCAAAATGGGCATCTCACAAGGACAGAGTGAATGTGGAGAGACCTTTTCATTCCAAGATATGTCAGCTGTGTTTTAATTGGCTCTAATTAGCACACTGTATTCAGCTATAAAAATTCTTTACCTTGGAGCTTAGTGACACTTAAGGATGTGAAATGTCTTCCTACCTTTGAAAACATCAAAGAAAGCACTTCCAGTCTAGCTTTTACAGCTGAATGTTCAGTGATCAGTGCAGGAAAGGGGCAAATACAACAATACGCATAAAGAATATTGATCTCTCAAAGAGTTAATTGGTCAAACCAGATTTCATTGTCTTTAATTAAAACTATATCTACGTATATTAAGACCAGATCATAGAATCATAGAGTGGTTAAGGTTGGAAGGGACCTTAGAGATCACTGAGTTCCAACCCCCCTGCCATGGGCAGGGACACCCTCCACTAGCCCAGGTTGCTCAAAGCCTCATCCAGCCTGGCCTTGAACCCCTCCAGGGATGGGGCATCCACAGCTTCTTTGGCCAACCTGTGCTGGATCCTCACCACTCTCCCAGGAAAAAATTTCTTCCTAATATCTAATCTAAGGCTACCCTCTTTCAGCTTAAAACTATGACCCCTGGAAGACTGCTCTAAGGTCTCCCTGGAGCCTTCTCTTCTCTGGGCTAAACAACCCCAACTCTCTTGGCCTGCCCTTGTATGGGAGGTGCTCCAGCCCTCTGTCCATCTTCGTGACTCTCTTCCGGACTCACTCCAACAGGTTCCTGTCCTTCTTATGCTGGGGGCCCCAGAGCTGGACACAGTACTCCAGGTGGGGTCTCATGAGAGCAGAGCAGAGGGGGAGTAAATGCCAGTTATACTTCCAGCACTTCAGCAATATCAGAATCAACTTGAAGATTTCTTGGTTCTGGCCCCATTCAGTAGTGTGATGATCCTGATTTCTTTTAATTTCACTTTGGAAAAGTGGATTGTGGAAGGTTAGCTGTGATCATATGTAGGTTATAGTCCATTGATTTTTTTTTTTATCCTGTTATATGTGTTCATAAAATGTTTTCATCTTTTTGAAGGGTCTGATTGATACACCTGTACAGCAGGGCTGTATGAAATTCTGAAATACCCATGCCAGTGCCAGGTGGTTATTTCTCATTATTATGGTCAAAATGATGGTTGAACCTGTAATTGAAACTGTGTCATCATTTTTATTATCAACACTTGTTTTCAGTTGCTTGTAAGTGTTTCCAAGTTGTACCGTACAACTTTAACAAGAAACACTGTTGAAAATTAGATTGGCGATACTACAGACAAAACTAACAAATTAAAAGCAAATCATAGAATCATTCTAGTTCCATGTCCTTGTTAAAACACATTTGAAAACATGATGGTAGCTTAATCTGCTAAACAAAGTGATTTTGTCCTAATACAAGAGAGCTCATTAGAAGTTAACTTTTGTAAGTAGTTAATTTACATGGATTGACAACATAATAAGGATGCAGGTCATGATTCTAAAAGAAGATAGATGCACAAGCTAGTCGTTTCTTTGATCTGTTCCGTTTCCTTAGGGAAAAGTTTAGAAGGTAAGGAGTCAACCAGCACACCTTTTGTTATAGTTCCAGATTTTCGTCAGCTTTTCATCAGTTTTATTTTTTGTCACAGTTCTGTTTTCTCTGCATAGTCTGGCTTCTCTATAACAGCAAACAGGTGCAGTCATCTGCCTGTATATCTAATGCTTGTTTTACAAAAAGTGCAGAGAAAAAATTATGAAACTCTTCATCGAAGAAGCAAGAGGATTTTGGCTGGAAGGTATCAGCTGAGAATAACTGAGATTGTGTTTCACTTATGGTGTGAAAAAAATTACACTGTGTCACTTCTTTCTGTTGCCTGGAATCTCCCATTTTCTTTTCCTTGTGTCTTATGCCGTAAGATTGGATCAAGTCCCATGGCTTAGATCTGGGGCCAGCGAGACCATAACCACTGTCTTGGGAAGGAAGGAGTAATGCAAAATTTGGGATAAAATGAGAGCATACATAGTGTGCAGTACCATGTTAGGAAGGTACCTAACGGATACTTGACGTTGGGCTCACTTGCCCAAGGCTTCCATCTGCTCATGGAACCTTTTTGTCTCTTCCATGCAGGTACTGAACTGATTCATGCAAAAAGCTAAACAGACTAGAAAACCTATGCCTGGTGGTGGACTCTTGACAAACCTCAAGTGATACTTCTTTATGTATGCACTGAGGACAGTATATCAAATGTCTTTGAATAACTCTAGTTTTTGTCTAGAGATAGGAGAAAGTTTCTCCATGTAGCTATTGATAGTAAAGTTGTGATATCTACCTTCAGCTATATTGTGTCATTATAAGAGGATTCAGAGGTTGCACTCCTTTCTTTTAAAAGTGCTGGGTGTGGAGGCCTGTCTCATAAAATTACAAGTATTATTCTTCTAAACTTACTGTTATTTCCAGTGAATTTGTTAGGGTTATAGTGCATATATTTAGTTGTGCTGCCCATACCGACTGACTTGAATATGCTGCTTCTCATAGACAGAACTGGACATGAGGACTGATTTCTTGCATGCCTTCATGTGTAGCACAAAACTCGTGAATCGCAGGTAAAAAGCGTATGTTGATTGAGTCATGATGACAGCTGCTGAAGTGCAAGAGTCTGCATCAAAGCTCTGGTGCTATGATTTTTTGCTGCATCTTCAAAAAGGGTGCACAACATTACATATAAGGAACTTTGGGGTTTCAAAAGCTAAAGCACTGGAAAGTGAGTGTACATCAAGGTCTATTTTGTTTTTGTGTACATATGCAGAATGACTACTACAATGACATAATCGCTGTTTGTTTTGCATGATCACTCTATGATTCACTATGCAGAATGGATGGCAAATGGAGTAAGGATTTTGAGAAGCTCTCTTGATGCTTGAGCTAGCATCCAGGGAAGCTGGGTGGCATTCCTTTTTCTGACAGATTGGGTCAGCATGTCAAAGGGCACTCAAAAGAAAAAGAAAAGGATGTGTACATTAGGACTGACTACAAGATTCCATAAGGATGCCTGAGTTTGGTATCGCATAGCTTTAAGTAACTGATGTTGCAATAATGTTCTTCTAATATTGTGTAAAAATTGCTAGTTTGCTAGTTAATGGCAGATTTTGCATTTAAAATATGGGATGGATTTTACCTGAAGGAAACCATAAAGAATATGGTTTAATATGTTTTGGAATAGATTAGGTCCACAGAGTTAAAATGGCTTTCTAGTGCAAATTCTGGTTGGTTTTAATGTTAGGTTGGTTTTTTTTTGTTGTTGTTTTGTTTCTGTTTTACAGTGTTATGTGGGAACCAATGGGAGATGGTAAAAAGATTATTTCGCTGGCTGATAATAACATACTATTGTGGGATTTGCAAGAAAGTTCAGGCAATGCTGTGGTAAGAATTTTTTTTTTTTCAACACATCATTAAATACTTGGATATAGTACAAACAACAACATTCACTAGCCTAGAATTTGCTAATCTGTTAAGTACTCCTTCAGAAATATCTTGTTGCCTGTAATGTGGGTGGAGGAAATGAATACTCCTATCTGTCTTGAATACGAGTGGTTAAGAGTAGGCAACTCGATATGTTGTATCTGTTGCTAGTTGTTAAATATTTTCCTTTTTCTGAAGTTGCCCTTACTTTCCTACTGGTTTTACAGTGAAAAATCAAAAATAAAGCAATGCTAATTTGGTAAAAGTGTATGAGGGAAAAATTGGTGATTGGTAAAGCCAAAGATATTGAGTCCAGATAACAGTATATTAACTCGTGTTGGTTAATACCATACAGTCCTCCATTTGATTTACAACCCTTGTTGTATGTCTAAGCGTAATATAAATTTCTCTATTTTTTGTGCACTGCTTTGAGTTTTTAGTGTGAGAATCTTGTAATGGATTCCAAATTCTTTAATTTTTTTCTTGAGGTTTATTTACTATAATTTTACATGTTGTCTTCCATTTACTGTTCCCTTTCTCAAAACTAACCTCTTTCCTCCATCACACAAATATTTGTGAATGTAACTATGATTTCCATTTCCTTTTTCTTCCATTGCTAGAATTGGGATCCCCATAATTTTGGGGAGGACTAGACTCTTCACCAAACTATGTAATTTTGGCATGATTTTGTCCTCAAAGCAATATTCAGCTTGCTGATCCCTTCAGTATTTCAATTAGTGTTACCTAGAATATCTTTTGTTCTGTTACTTTTAAAATATGCCTGTACTGCATCAAATATTGATGGCAAAATAAGGACTCCAGAAGGCAAAATAAGTGATAAGGGAACTAAGGGGAATTAACCTGGGACACTTGTTATATGCTTATATTTGATAAAAGGAAACAAGAAAAAACAAAAGTGAGAATCTGTGTCAAAAAACCTGCTTTATCTAATAAAGCTAAGACTATGAAAGCAGATATATTAACACTTGGCTGGCACCTTCAGATAGGAGCATTTTGAAATGTCTGTTAAAAACTTTACTTTGCAGGAGTCGGGGTGTCATTTAGATTTTACAGTCAGGTTCTCAGGAGGCCTGAAGTAGAATTTGATTGATTCTCTATATTTCTGTCTAAAATAATCTAGTATCTCATGTGAGTGCACTGTAAATTAGGATTGCTTATGATTAAACTTTAACTTGGAAATAACTGTTTACTGTTATCAGTCTTCTGCCCCAGCAATTTTGAGTTACTCTTAGATGTTATTTGCTTCATCACTGAGTCAGTGACCGCTTTTAAAGTGAAGTTTAATAGTGAAAGTCCATGGTAACTTGACTCTTAGAAAACATATTTCCAGGCACCTAAATCTGAAACCAGGTGAATCTCTTCTAAGATGATCATTATTGTTGCATTCTTGTTGAATTTTTGTCTGCAACAAATTTGCCTCAAACATGTCTGTGGATTCCTGAGTTAACCAGAGTCCAGATTTAACAAGACTCTGAAGAAACATGAGCATCTCTTTAAAATGCCTACCATAGACTTTCTAGTAATCAAAATTATGTCCAGTATCGTAGGCTTTTTCAAGAATCAACTAGATTCAACTGCTGTGTGTTTCTGAAATCTTTGAAGATTACCTTCTTCCTAAGAGGTTAAATCCCTGTTAGAATCTGTAGAAGACTGCAAACAATAACTGTTATTCTCTAGCAATTTTATATTCACAAAAATAGTGTAGGACAGGGAGCAATGAGGAAAACAGAGAAATGTCTCATTACTGACATGGATTTCTGTTAAAAAAAAAAAAACGCAAACCAAAACAAACAAAATCAACGGTCCACCCCATCCTTTACTGCTGAAGGATTTAGAATGGGAGAGAGAAATCCATGAGAACAGGTTGGTTAGAAGACAGATAGTATTGGTCCAAGTAAGCAATAAATGTTTTCCGTTTGGTTATCACCATCTACAAGGATTGTTTGTAGGCCAATAAGCTGCTTGGTGAAATAGTGGTATTTTTTTTTTTCTGTGTATATCTTGTTTATAAGGGAGTGTTGAATACAAAATATGTTGTAACCCTAAACAGCACATGATTTGTTAGAGTGTATAAACACACTGTTCTGTGATATTAAAAAAAATGGCATTTTTGGCCTTGAAAACAGGTACAGAACAGCCTATGTCAAAAAAAATCTTAACTCTCACCAACATTAAAAAGGGGGCATATATTTGAAAAAAAAGAGGGGGAGGGTGTTTCTGAAGAGAGACTATGGAGACTGCTCACAGTTCCTTTGGAGGTTATAGCTGATTATACAAGGTGTTAGTTGGTGCTATGTAGAAAATTCTTGCTAAGAAGTCCACCTTTGCTTTATATGCAAATACATGTGGAGATTATTTAAATGATAAGAAATTTTGTTTTTATTGTTCATTGGGATAAAAGGTTGCCCATTTTTGCCATGTCTTAGCCACTTGTTGTCTTATTACATGCTGTTTGTTTCTAGCAGATGGTGATGAAGCAGTAAGTAGCTCATAAACATATATCCTGTAGGAACTGTTGAGGAGGAAAGGTCTTTGCAAAATATTCTCGTTGCTATAGACTTATAAGTGAAATAACTGTGTATGCATGCATTATTTTATCTGAATAAATCAATAGCCTAGGATTAAGATAATAAAAATGTCAGTATGATTGAATTTTTTCCCTTTTTGTGAAAACCATGATGGTGTTCAGGTTGAATGACATCATCATTGTTAACTAAAAGTAGGATCTGGTCCACTCTATCAGGTAGTGGAAGTAAGGAGGTATTCATTACACTGGTGCAGCACTGGTCTTGCTGCTTTAAGAAGACATTTCAATGGTTTCCTTTTTGGGTAGGTGTGCATTACAGGCAGTATTAATTTTAACGGCAAGAGGTAAACCTAGTGCTAGTCTTTATGGACTTTTCATGTTTATGAAAAAGTTGATCTAAAACTCAGGTGTAGTACTGATGAAAAACTGAAAATATATGTGTCTTTAAAATTTTGCATAGGCCAGCATTTCTGCCTGCCTACACTGATCAGAACTTTAGAGGCTTTTATTGGGTGCATCTCCTCTACCTGCCTGTGAGTTACAAGTCACATTGTTTAAATAGAATTAGCCTGATAAATTTTAGGGTTTCTGATCTTTTCAGAGCCTCTTTGTAAAAAAACTACTGGTGTGTTCATTCTCTGAATTATCTGGTCAACCTGCCATAGGAAACATTTACTAACTATAAATTACTATAGGGTTCTGTGGGTTTGGTTATTTCCCTTTCAACATTTTTTGCTAACTTGTTTCTTCATTGCTGTATTTAATACAGAAATATTTGCCTGTATTTGCATTAAGACAAGCTTCTCCTGTCCTTTTGATCACTCCCTTTATTATTGTTTTGAGGACATTACCTTCTGGGGTGAAACTAATCTTATGCTCCCTGCATCATTACCTTTTGCAATTAAATTAGCTATTCTTTGCCATTTATAATCATTAGCTGAACCCAAGAGAAGACCAGACAGTCCCCAAGGTCTGGGTAGATTCTGTAGAAAAGATGACAGTTAATATTTCTATATAGACTTTAGGTCAGATGTCACCATATCACTAGGACTCTTTATTGTGTAAATGCAGTAAGTTTGGAATGGCAGTTGAGGGCAACAGGGTGAAATGGAGATGTTAAACTATAGGTATTTTCCTGTTTGCCTTATGTTTTCATAAAGGGGAGGTGTAGAGGTGTGGTTTTGATCATTTTTATCCAAATGATTAATTAGATTCCTTTTAAATTTCCTGTCTCCTCTGCATTCTTTAGTAGCATTTAATGTGTACGTGATGTTAATTCAGAACAATAGAAGATATCTGGCGGTGGCATTCCAGGCAAGAAGGAAGGTCTTGTCGGGAAGATTTGAGTCTGTCTGGATTATAGTAATGTATCCAAATATAGGAGGATGTTAGGAATAAACATGAGATGCTTCCTTGGCAAGATGGCTTCTTTTCCTCAAGGCAGAAATACATTGTGAACTTTAGTGGAGAACTTTGTAGAGTGCACCGTAATTCCTGCAACTAGAATAAACATAGATAAATTAAAGGAGGTCAAAAAACTGGAGAAATGACTGGATTGCAAAGAGGACAGAAGACCAGTTCTTAAACAGTTGGTGTTGGGATAAATTTTGTTTAATGGTCTCCTTAATGATAACACAGAAGTAGGGGTGAAATGATGAAAATTGTTAATGACGGAAACTCAGAATGCATCATCAGTGTATAGCAGTAACAATGTATTTCAGAGGACAAACTAGCTGTTCTTGATGTTTAATTTTCATAGAATAAAACAGAAAATTGATGTTTAAGGAATAAAAATATTTTCTTGATGTGAGGTGGAAACTCAGCACTTAAAAATATGTAGATTTTGTTACTTAACTATTCTGAGAATTACTCTAAGCTGCTAGTCTTAAGGGGTCTGTTTGAAAAGGCGAATAATTATAAGATGGTTCAGGAGAAAAGAACAGTTATGAAAGAGCCACAAAGATGGTGAAGGGAATGGAGCATCTCCCTTATGAGGAAAGGCTGAGGGAGCTGGGTCTCTTTAGTTTGGAAAAGAGGAGACTGAGGGGTGACCTAATTAATGTTTATAAATACGTGAAGGGTGAGTGTCAGGAGGATGGAGCCAGGCTCTTCTCTGTGACATCCAGTGATAGGACAAGGGGCAATGGGTTCAAGCTGGAACATAGGAGGTTCCACTTGAATATGAGGAAAAACTTCTTCACGGTGAGGGTGACAGAGCACTGGAACAGGCTGCCCAGAGAGGTTGTGGAGTCTCCTTCTCTGGAGACATTCAAAGGCCGCCTGGATGCGTTCCTGTGTGATCTGATCTAGGTGTTCCTGCTCCGGCAGGGGGATTGGACTAGATGATCTTTCGAGGTCCCTTCCAATCTCTAACATTCTGTGATTCTGTGAAAGGACTACGTGACCTAGTTGC